TGACGACTGTCTGGTATGGGGATTGTCCTGATTTTTTTTAAAATTTTATTGAATCGTATTGACTATACATATTTTGGGGGTTCAGCATTGACATATGTTAATCAAATCAATATTACTAGCATATGTATTGTTACAAAGAGTACTTATTCTTTCTTTCTTTTTTTTTTAAAAGATGACCGGTAAGGGGATCTTAACCCTTGGCTTGGTGTTGTCAGCACCACGCTCACCCAGTGAGCCAACCGGCCATCCCTATATGGGGATCCGAACCCGTGGCCTTGGTGTTATCAGCACCACACTCTCCCGAGTGAGCCACAGGCCGGCCCTCAAATCATACTTATTCTTTATGCCCCTTGTCCAATCTCTCCTCAGCTCCCTCTCTGTCCCCCACTACCCCCTTTAATTACCCTAGATTTCTTCTCTCCTTCTGAAAGAGTAATGGTTACTCTGTTGATTTGTTGCCTAGATGATCTGTCCAGTGCTGAGAGGTGTATTCAATATTATCGTAGAGCAGATGCTTCTTCTGTCACTCTGGAATGAGCTTTGTTGAGAGATCCTTTTCTTTAACATAAAGTATACCATCTTAACCATTTTAAGTGCACAATTCACTAGTGTTAATTATATTCACATTGTTGTGTAACCAATCTCTTTTGCAACATGCAAAACAGAAACTCTATTAAGCAGCCACTTCCTGTTTTCTCCTCCCCCCAGCTCTTGACAACCACCATTCTACTTTCTGCTTCTATGAATACGATCTAGAAATCTTCTGTGAATATGATCTTGATACCTAGTGGACTCATACAGTAATTGTCTCTTTGTGACTGGCTTACTTCACTTAACATCCTCAAGGTTCATCCATGTTTTAGTATGTCAGAATTATCCTTCCTTTTTAAGGCTGAATAATATTCCATTGTATGTACATGTGCATTCTGTTTATCTGTTCATCCATGGGTAGACATTTGGGTTGCTTAAACCTTTGGCTATTGTGAATAATGCTGCTATGAACATGGGTGTACATATATGTTTGAAACCCCTTCAATTCTTTTGGATATATACCCAGAAATGGAATTGCTGGATCATATGGTAATTCTATTTTTAATTTTTTGAGGACCCACAGAACTGTTTTCCACAGCAGACATACCATTTTACATTCCCACCAACAGTGCACATGGGTTCCAATTTCTCCACATCCTTGCCAACACTTATTTTCTATTTTTCATAATAGCTATCATAATGGATTTGAGTTTGTCTTGGATTTTAGGACTTATAAATAAGTGTGTTTAAATTAACCTAGTGTGGTTTGTGAACACACTTAGAATAGTTATCTGTACACAGGGTAAACTCTATGTTAACTCTGTTAAATAAATGCACAAATCAGTAAAATTTGCAAGTGGAAAATAGTCTTAATACTGTAAGTTATATGACCATATGGAAATTGGTTTAACAAAGCTTTGAATAAAATGCTGCATTAGTACCAAGAAGTGGCAACTCAAACTTTAAGGGTAGGCTTCCTGATAAAGAGTTTGGGTATGTTGCTTCCCCAAAGCTCATGTCAAAATCTGGTCAGCAGTGTGGCAGTATTAGGAGTTGTTTAGGTCATGGGGGGTGGATCTCTCATGAATTAATGTCCTCCCTGGGGGGAAAGGGGAGGGTAGTGAGTGAGTTCTTGTTCTGTTAGTTCCCATGAGAGCTGGTTGGTTAAAGGACCCTGGCAACTCCCTCTCTCCCTCTCTTGCTTCCTCTTGCCACGTGACCTTGCACCTGCAGGCTGCCTGCTGTTTTCCACCATGAATAGAAGCATCAGATGCAGATGCCCCAGAATCGTAAGCCAAATAAACCTCTGTTCTTTACATATTACCCAGTTTCAGGTATTGTTATAGCAACAGAAACGGACTGACACACTTCCCTTGACCTTTAAGCTTGACAGATGAGTAAGACTACCCAGGAAATGGCATTCCACATAGAAGAGGAAACAGCATGTTCAGAGGTTCAAAGTCATGGAGACAGAAAAAAGAAAATTTTTAAAAATTCAGTATTGCTGAAGGTGCCAGGCATTGAAGCTAGTGCCAATTATTCCAAGTGAAGGTGAGATTTTTTTTTTTTTTTGTCCTTTTTGAGACCGGCCGCACTGCGCTCAGCCAGTAAGTGCTGTGAGCGCACCGGTCATCCCTATATAGGATCCGAACCCACGGCGGTAGCGCTGCTGCGCTCCCAGCACCGCACTCTCCCGAGTGCGCCACGGGCTCAGCCCAAAGGTGAGATTTTGTCTAAAATATTTTCTTTATAATTTTTAAAAATGTGGTGGCTTCATTTCCTGTAATTGTTGAGTGATTATTAAGATTTATGCTGTTTCATGGTGGAGTTTAAAGACCTACTTTGACTCCCTCATTCATGTGAAGAAATGAAACACAAAGGTTGTAATGACATAACTCAAAATCCCACAGTTCAGAGGCAGACCTGGAAGTGAAACCTAAATCTAGGGTTTTCTCCACTATTCCCAGAACTTTACTAAGTCTCTTATCACCCACTTTCAGCCTTTTAGAGTTACAGGACTTGGGAAAAATATGGTATAGTTAGTTTTGTAGAGACTAAAAAATTCCCTTGCATTACTGTAGTATTTTATTTTTTCCAAAGTGCTTTCATGAGTATTATCTCCAGATGGTGTTACCATGTGCCTCCTCTGCCACACATCTTAATTTTCTTGAACAAGAGCACTTTTGTTCTAGTTCCAACAGTTTCTCTCACACTGCTCTCTAATAAAAACAGTCTGTAAAGTTTAAATAATCCCAAGTCCCAACCAAAAGTAACTAAAACTCAATTGGAAACAGATACACTATGAATGCGGGAACACCATATTTATTAGGTCAATAATTCATTTTTAGCAATACAAGTACAGAATATATCACAATGCTGTTTACAAACATACTTAGTATGGTTTAATAGTTACAAATAATGGCGGTACTACAAGTCGGTGAGAATGGTATGAAAAGGTCATTCTGACACAATGAATAACTGTCTTCAAAATTTTATTAACGACCTTAGATATTTCTATAGAAATTACTGTGGCACTATTAGTGGGGATTTTCATGTAAAGACTGTTAGTGATTTGCTTTTAATTGTTCCATTAAGAGCTTTTTATTTTGAGCCTATTAAGCTAAAATCCCCTGTTGCTTAATAAAGTATAAAAATAGTACTGACTTGGTAATATTTAATAAAATGTAGCATTCATTCACATCATAAAAGTAGAATTAAATTGAAAAGTTTTAGTTACCATGGCAACATATCTTCCCATAAAAGGAATATACAGAAATGAGTAATGTTACACAAATGGTACCTGCAATGGTTTTTTAGTGATCCAACACTTAACTATGCACTACAAACCAAGTTTTCTAGATACCTCTATATAGCATATATTTTTAATCTTAAATTTTACTTTTGAAAAACATGTGCACTTCAAGAAACTCACTAAGGCCACTCATGCTATAGATACCTACGGTTGCAATTAAAGAATAGTATTATTTAATAAATCCTAAAGCACACTCCTTCAGATCATCAACAGGGTAAAACCAGTTTTCTGCCTAAAACATTCCTGAGATTTCTGGACCAAAAAACCACTAGTGTTCAAGCTAGAGATTAATCCAAATGTCATATTAAAAAAATAAAAGAATTTCCTGGTAACTGAGGTTTTTCAAAGCCAAGAGGTGAAATATTTGTTAATCTTTAAAGCAAAAATAAAACTTTTTAAAACATTTGTACTTATAAATAAGTATTTTTCCAGTAGTAATTTTGCCATCTAGAAAAAGAAGTTTCAAAGCAGCAAAGCTACAAATCCTGGGGAAAACATAAAAATAAGAGGCGGTTAACAATACCTGTTACTTAGCAAATCATTCTCTCAATTTGTAAAGTTTTGGCCAAAAGCTTCAATCATGTTTTAGGCATGTGTTTACTATGAGCTTTCTATTTGCCCTATAAGGAGCAGCCTCTGCACTTAATTTTCATTAAACTATAAACTCCTCCTAATAGGATAGGAACAAAGGTCTTTGTCAAATCCTTTGTTTTCACTTATAACAGAATACCTGGGCAGGGGTTACTACAAAGCAATAGTGAGATCATTTTTAATCAAGCAGAAACAGATTTGATGGCAATAGGGCTCCTAATCCATTGGGCAAGTCAGCTTTGGGGACCTATACAGATTATGCTCTAAAAAACCCAACTGGCTCTATTAAACTGAATGCAGGAGTGACTAACCAGCTGTGTGTCACATGCAAGTGTTAACAAAGCTTCCTGATGCACCCAACTTGAGTAGAACCAAACTTAAGAAAAAGAGTGTGTAGAAGAGAAGAAAAAGTCAGGGAAGGTTGAGACCAAAGGCCTCTTATTTAACATTACTTCGCTGAACCTCCAGAAAAATCTTTAAGTTGGCTAGGGTTTCTTTACACACAACACCATTATATGCAAAAAGTTTCTGCAAGCTATTGGTTATTGCAAAGTAAATTTTATTTTTCTTCCTTTGAGTTTTTTTAACACCATAAATCATGGTGGCATGATTTCTCTCTAACTTATCCTAAACACCCCTACTAAAAGGATAAATCCCACACTTAAAATTATTAGGGTATTCTTCATTAGAACCAGAAATAATAGCATAGTAAGTCATATCATTAACAGAAAATGGCAATCTGTTTTCTTAAACTTTAGTGTATGTATTAAATCAAACTGTATGGATTTAGAGAAAACTACATTAAAGCAGTGGTGATAAGGAGAAACTGCCAATAATGATGTTAAAAAAATAAATAACTGGTTGCCATTTGACAACATCACCCTGTGATCTTAGGCTTCTAAATATCATGTTGCTTTATCACTGAGTGTGAGCTAAGTTCAGTTCAAATTGAATTAAGGAGAATAAGGCCTTAAGTCATTTGCTTGATTTTATCCTAGGAAATCTTATACATGCACAAAAACAAAAAATATATAAATTAAAAAAAAAAAAACTTCATATGGAAACATAAGTTTCAAAATATTTATTGAAAAACAACTTACCATACCACAAACATACCACAGGACTCTAAATAACCAATAAAAGTATACAAAGCCTATCCTGAAAATATCTTTGGAGGTATTAAATATACAGGCCCATGAGGATAGAGCTGAGTAATTTTAAAATGTTAGTCCTTGGTCACACAAACTATTTGGTAACTAATAAAGAGGTGCCACTTGGCATTAGATTGCAATTAACTGGAAGGGGGAACAGCTTTATAAACTGCGGGTGTGCCAACTTACTCTTTCCAAAATTTAAAAAGAAAACAATTAATTTGAGGAATAAACCCAGGTTTCTAAATCACATAGTTATCATTTTAGGGTGTGGACGTGTTTCATCTCTTTAGGTACATCCCCCAATCGATCCCTCCTGGGAACTTACATGCACTGGTTCATAACTAATAAGACTGCAAGTAACAATTTTAAACAAGGTGAGAGTTGGGGAAGTTCAAAAAAGTGTTAAGACAGCTTAGATTTCTCCCCCTCCCTACCAACATGCATGTCAAATGAAAACAAAATACAACACACATCCATTCACCCACACACTACCCCAAGCATCAGCCAGGAGCAACATCTTTAACAGCAAAGTCATGAACCCCTGAAAATAGGGGGGAAACCCAGGTTCTTAACTATAGAGGCGCCAGATGGGCCACTATAATAAGAATTGAGGTAACAGCAAAAGACCTTTTTATTTCGTGGATTGCTACATGTCACCCAACTTCTCAAATTTGATTATTACCTCAACATTAAATAACTGGACTGGCTTAAAAAAAAAAAAAGCAAAACTGAATAAATTCAAGTTGGTAAAATAGACATATCACTGGGGGATCTTTCCATTTGACTCCTGGATTTCAAACAAAATGACCCAGTTGTACTATTTTTTATTTACAATAAAAATGAAGGATTTTCTAAGAAGACTTATTTTTCAACATTAATCCCCACAAACCGTACAGTAACCTAAAATTTCCATCTGGACATGAGCTATTTCATGATTCTTAGCCAATATACTTGTTAATTGCATTGATTATTAGTGTAACATTTAAAACGAGGGGGATGGCTGCAGCAGATATTTATAGACTTGCTTATGGCATTTCCATCTGTGTACCTTTGACTAAAGATATGCCACTGAAATTGCCAAATTTCCCTAGTTTGGTATCTACTACATGAACATAATTTTTGCATTATCACTTTTCATTATACATCTACATGAAATATTCTACTGAGAAATGTATATGCAGGGGCTAAAATAATAATCTAAAGCCTCTGGTCCAAGTACCCACCTTCTACCTTAGGCTGGTCCTTTTTTGATCCTCCTGGTCCTGTTAGCAAATGCTATCAGAGCATCTTGCATTGTTGTACCAAAAAAAAAAAAAAAAAAAAAAGTTAAAACTGCTAGACTATCAGATTCTCTATTGCTTACAGATCAACACTGGTCCAGTTCAGATGAATCTGACAGTCCTTTAAGCCTTGTAATATAGTTCTGGAGTGGTTGTATCCACTTCTCTAGGTAAGGTAGCCAAACCTAAGTCAGAATGTCCCATTTTTCTCAGTACTTCTGATAACTTTTCTATACGGCATATAAAGATTTTCCCCATAAAATTTCTTTACAGTACAATATTGAATACCTCCACATGGAAGAATTATACGTTAAAAAAAGTTGTTGAAATCATCCTTACAGAATAAGAATGCAACTCTTTTAAAACTCTTAAATAGTTTTATTTAGGGTTCTTTTTTTCTTTCGGGCTTTCTGCAAAATGAGTTATTTTTTAAAAAGAAAAAAAAAATTTCCTGTTAGTTATACTAGGTTGAAAATGTGGGCCAGACTACTTATACATGCGGTACATGCTGAATATAAATGAATATATGCTTATTCCTACGGACACTCTGCAAGATAGGGATCACCCAAAATAGGGTCTTCAATGGACTGGACCAGTGTTTCAATATAAATTCCAGCCCCCCAAAAAACAACATGGTTTTGATTTCACAGTATGAATTCCCTGGAATCTGGGAAAAGATAATTGGATAACTGAGGTCCTCCCTCAGCAGCTCGGTCCCTCTACATTCTGAGAAATCAGGAAGGACTGCACGACTTCTTCAGTGGACTGGGGGCTGGTATTGACATCTTCAAGAGCATCGGTCACTGAATACTGTCGATCTCGCAACCGGTTCCAGTTAGACAGAACATTGTGATATTCAAACACTTTCTCATAATTTCCAATGGAGTTGTAAAGTTTAATGAGACCTCGGTAATCATATTCTAGTCCACTGTAGCCTTCACCAAAAAGCTTCTTCCCTGAAAGTAACCAAACAAAAAAAGAAAGAAAAAGTTCAAATAATGAAATAACAAGTGGTTTCTACAACACGAACAAAAGTTCAATTCTTTAAATAGGGTGGCTTGGTTTTATTTCCCTGAAAGTAGTAGATACAATTCTTGTATCAGTGCCCCCCAATCCTGTCCCACCCATGAACTATCTCTAAGACTTAAGAAAAAAATTTCTCGTCTAAAAAAGTTGGCCTTACTAGAACAGAATGACAAAACTTCATGGTTTATAGGGACTGATTTAAAGAGATCTCAAAGTAAAGAAAAATGGCAGCAACAACAATAGAAAAATAAATTTGCACAAGGCTATTCATTGCAGCAGTGTTTGTAACTGCAGAATAATACAAATGAATGAAAATACACAGGAGAATGGTTCAATCAACTGTGGCACGTTCACTCAATGGGCAGCTGTAAACTGAAAAGGAAACTGTCAGCTCTCTATGAACTGATATTAAGTGAATTACAAAAGAGTATCTATAGTATGCTACCTTTTGTATAAAAAAGGGAAAATAAGAAAATATTTGTTTGTTTGCTCATTTGTGCAAAAAGATATACAGAAAGGATAAAGCAGAAAGTAATGAGAGTGATTACCCATAGTGGATAGGTGAGAACTGGGTAGAAGAAATTAGGGAAAAATTATATATCTCTGAGCATATCTTTCTGCATAGTGCTGATTTCAGACTGTTAATATTTCACATCCTCAAAAAATTAACAAAACAAACAAAGATGGAGGGGGCAAAATGTAATACAAACAAACAAATGAACCTAATTTGTTTTTCAAATGAACAACACATGTAACCAACAAAGGGACTGTCATATCCACTGTCTATAAGTCAGTAACAAAATAACAAGATGGGGGCTGGCCTCTTACTCAGTTGGTTAGAGCACAGCCATATAACCCCAAGGTCAATGGTTTGGTTTCCCATACTGGCCAGCTGCCCGCCCCCTCCGCCAAAAAAAAAGAATATGACAAGATAATTCAACATAAAAATGGACAAGAGTTTTAACAGGTACTTCATAAGATGACGATCACAACATATTTTGTAATAGCCCTGAAATAGAAAAAACCCAAATGTTCCAAATGTCCATTAACAATGTAATAGATAAATAATGGTATACTCATCCAATAAAATGTTATACAGCACTAGAAATTAACAAGTGACACTGATACGCAACTACACAGATGTATTTCACAATAAATGTTCGGCAAAAGAAGCCAGACACATAAAAATATACATTATATTACTCCATTTATGTTAAAGTCAGGAGAAGGGAGGGGAAGGGAAGTGGGGGTAATAATTGCACAGTTTATAAAATAACTACTTTTGACTTCACCACTGACTTCAACATCAAAAAAGCACTTTTAGTGAAGGGTTCCAGATGGTTTTTGGGTGGTTCTTGGATATCTTTTACAGCTTTAAACCCATTTAAATCTTAGTAATAATAGTTCCCTTATACAACTTATAGACATGTTGACATATTGATCTCTAATCAATTGACTTAAGAAAATTTAAAAGTAACATACCAATTGCTATAGATCGCAAATAAAGTTTCTCAGCATTTTCATACTGATTCATGTCATAATTATATAAAGAAGCCAGATGTCCCACTGAAAGGGCTACTTCATAATCTTCTTGACCAAGAAGTTGCTCTTTAATCTGAATTGCTTTGATGTGCATTTCTTCAGCTTCCTGAAAAATAATTATGCCAAATCAATCATTAGATTATACTTATTCCTTATGTCAACAGTTCTTACCCAATAAGCAAGGTCCTTTTAAACGCCAAAGACATCTTATGATTGCCATGAGGTAATCACATCAAGGAACATATACTATGTTATTTTAAAAAGTGCCTATGGGAAGCCTTGCTGGTTTTTGAAAACTGCACATAGTTGATGGTAGTAATAGTGCCCTATGACAAAAGTGATAAAAGAAAACTTGTTCTGGTAATAAAAAATTGCTAGAAGAATTTAACAACATAGAAGAAATTAACAAAATTGTTAGAATTAACAAAACATTCTAAAATGAAATTATTTCTTTTAGTTGACACATTTCAAAATTTAATTGGACCTTGTTAAGAAACTCCATATCATATGTTAACTTATATAGGCATACACTTCATTTATTTTTTTTGAGTTTTGACAATTTTTATTCCAACAAACTAAAATTATGTTAATTAAGGGATACACATATAGAGTGATTTTCAGGTAAAAACGAACATCTTAGGCAGACTCATTCTTTCCTTACTGTGAATTGAAAATGGACAGTATTAAGAATTTATGACCCAAGGGGCAAGCTGGTTAGCTCAGATGGTTAGAGTGTAGTGAAGTTTAACACCAAGGTTAAGGGTTCGGATCCCCATAACAGAGAGAGAGAGAGAGAGAGAGAGAGAGAGAGAGACACACACACACACACACACACACAAATTTATAACCCAAAAGCCTAAAAGAGAATTAAAGTTAGTAATTTTTATTACTACAATTTATTACTACAATTAATAATACTTGCAATATCTGACATTTCTTGCATACCTACCAACTGCCGGGCATACTGCTAAGAGATGTACATACTTAACTTACCTAAGAACTATGTTTGAAGTCTAAGTAAAACAATCATATCAGCCTTTTCAGTTCGAAACGTTTTTTTTTTTCATGGTTCTGATTTTTAAATTTTATTTATATTTTGATTATGCTGTTTTATACTAGCTATTTTCTCAATTCATTTATGGAATAAGAAAGGAGTATAATAAATGTATACTTTACTATTTAAAATTACAGAAGATTTATTATTTCAGATTTATTATGTAAGATTTTACATTCATGCATCATTTAATGATGGGGATATGTTCTGAGAAATGCTTCATTAGGTGAATTCCTCTTTGAGTGATTATCATAGAGTGTAGTTACACAAATCTAGACTGTACAGCATACTACACACCTAGGGTATATGGTATAGACTATGGCTCTGAGGCTACAAACCTGTATAGCATGTTACTGTATTGAATACTGCAGGCAACTGTAACACAACGGTATCTGTGTATCTAAACAAATTTAAACATAGAAAAAGTACAGGAAAAATACAGCATTGTAATTTTATGGGATCACTGCCATATATGCAGGCCATCACTGACTGAAACACTGTTAAGCACCACATGACTGTACTTTTAAAAATTATTTAAGGTTATTTAGAGACAAAAATATAGTAAAACATGTTTCTACCTTAAATTTTCTCATTGACTGATAAAGCCTTCCAAGGTTTCCATAGTGTTTTGCAGTCTGTACATTAAATTCCCCAAAAGCTTTTTTAGCTAGTTGGAGTGAAGACAGGTGCAAATCATGAGCTTCTTGAAGCAGCCTCTGTTCAGTTTCCTTATTATGACAGTCGATTGCAATCTCCTCTAAAATAAGTGCTGAATAAAGAAAGTATTAAATCAGTGCACTTCAAACCATTCACTAAAACTAATCAAAACATTAATTTAAAATTAAATAATACAAATGTTTATTGAATACATGAGGGGACTTCAAAAAGTTTGCGGAAAAATGAATTAAAAGATAAAAATAAAAATATAAACTTTATTTCTTAGGATAAGTTCCATAATTTTAAGACACTTTTGTTAGTGATGATACCAGCCATTTAGTCCATCCCTAAAGAACTGAGGGTCCTGGGAATTTAACCATGTCAATGCAGTCTTTTTTTTACATTATTCACTGAAGAAAAATGGGTACCCTTTACAGATTTTTTTTTTCCTTTTTGTCTTTTTTCGTGTCCGGCAACGGATCGCAACCCTCAGTGTCGCGCCTGTCCTGGACCGGGACCGGCAATGGGATCGCAACCCTTGGTGTTGCGCCCGCACCTCGCTCAGCCAGTGAGTGGGAACGGTCTGTATGTGGGATCCGAACCCTCGGCCCGCCGCGCTCCCAAGCGGCGCACTGTAGCAGTGCGCCACCGGGCCGGCCCTACAGATTTTTTAAGATTAGAAAACACAAAGAAGTCAGAAGGAGCCAAATCAGGACTGTAAGGTGGATGCTTAATGATTTCCCACTGGAACTCTTGCAAAATTGCTCATTTGATGAAAGGAATGAGCAGGAGCACTGTTATGGTGGAGAAGCACTCTCTGGTGAAACTTTCCAGGGCATTTTTCTGCTAAAGCGTTGGCTGACTTTCTCCAAAGACTCTCATAATAAGCAATGTGATTGTTCTTTGGCCCTCCTGAAAGTCAACAGCCAAAGTGCCTTGACCATCCAAAAAAGTTGTTGCCATGACCTTTGCTCTTGACGATCTGATTTTTCTTTTTTTTTTTGGTGGCTGGCCTGTATAGGGATTGAACCCTGGACACTGGTGTTATTAGCACCACACTCTAATCAACTGAGCTAACTGGCCAGCCCCCTGCTTTTACTTTAACTATACATAGCACTTCCACCTCTGGGTAGCCACTGCTCTGATTGTGTTTTGTCTTTAGGATTGTACTGGCAAAACCATATTCACCTCCTGAAGAAATGCTTCAGGATCTTGACCCCACTTGTTTAAGATCAGCATTGATTCCTGTACAGGCCAGCCACCAAAAAAAAAAAAAAAAATTTCCAGTGAAAACTCTGCTTTCATCTGCAGCTGATCTGGGTGCAGCATTTCAGCACCCACTGGAGTGGAAAGTTTGCTCAACTTTAATTTTTCAGTTAGAATTGTGTAAACTGAATCAACTGAGATGTCTATGGTTCTATGTTCATGCTGTTAATCATCAATCCTCTTCAATTAGGGCATGAACAAGATTAAAAATTGATGTCTCTGCTACTGCAGGCTTCGTCTTCAATATCATTTCTTCCCTTCTTTTTTTTTTTTGTCTTTTTCCGTGTCCGGCAACGGATCGCAACCCTCAGTGTCGCCCCCATACCGGACCGGGACCGGCAATGGGACCGCAACCCTCGGTGTTGCTCCTGCACCTCGCTCAGCCAGTGAGCGGGAACCGGTCTGTATGTGGGATCCGAACCCTCGGACGGGAGTGCCGCCACACTTCCCAAGCGGCGCACTATCCAGTGCGCCACCGGGCTGGCCCCATTTCTTCCCTTCTTAAAAGGAATTATCCATTTGTAAATTGCTGATTGTTCTGGGGCACTGTCCCCATAAACTTTTCATAGAGCATCAATGATTTCACCATTCTTCCCTTCCACCCAAGCTTCATCATAAATTTAATGTTTGTTTTGCTTAAATTTTAGCAGAATTCATGTTGGTCTGATAGCTCTTTCCAAATTGTCTTATTCTTCTTAGTTCTTTAAACTAAATCTTGTTTAGACATGTTATAACAAGTTAGCACAAGTTAGTTTTGGTGCAAAAAAATTTTGTAACCCACACATAGTTTTTTTTCATAATATGTATTTTCCAAGAACGTTCTGAGGACCCCCGTAATATTTATATGTGAGTATGGTTTTTAATTGGTCAAGATCAGCCCTCCATATACATGGACTGGCATTCACCAATTCAACCAACGAACTAAGAATTGAAAATGTTTCGGGAAAAAACCACAAACAATAAAAACAAATAAAAATAACAAAATATATAGTATAACAACTATTTACTTAGTATTTACATTGTATTAGGTATTACAAGTAATCTAGAGATTATCTAAAGTATGTGGGGAGGATGTGCATACGTTGTATGTACTCACTACACCATCTTATATAGGGACTTGAGCATACATAGATTTTAGTATCCAAAGGGTGTCCTGAAACCAATCCCCTCCCCATACAGAGGATAATTATATTGTCCTTTACTTTTTTGGGGGGGGGGCATTCTATTTTGCATGGCATAATTAATTCCAATTTAAGAAAAACAATGGAATACATCAAATTATTTTCCAGAATTAGCTTCTACTTTAACAGGCTGCTATACTTTCATGACGTGAATTTGTTTTTTAAAGTAAATTGAAGAAGAGGTGAATTTTCTAAACTTATGAAACTGTGTCAAGGAGTACCTAAGTACTTTTGAAAGTTTTGCAACCACACTTTATAAAGCATGACCTTTAACCAAATACATCTAAAAGAACTGTTTTCCTTCTATTCACTTGACCAACCAAATCAGGAAAGAAGGCATTTCAATTTCAAAGATGCACTGAACACTTTCATTCCATCTAAAGCCTTAAAAACATGTTCTTTTACCAGTAATTTTATTTCATGGAAAATTGTCTATGTGCACAAATGTAAATAAGAGAGATATACTTCACTGTAGTGTTATATATAATAGTAATAATAATAATAAAGGTGAGGGTAAATACAATAGTAAAAAAATACCTACATGTATTGAAATAGAAAAATATTTGTTATATTAAGTGAAAAAATCATTTATCTTTTATTTTTATTATTTTATTCATTTATCTTATTTTAAAAAAGAAAAGTCTAGGACCAGCCCATGGCTCACTCAGGACAGTGTGGTGCTGATAACACCAAAGCCAAGGGTTCGGATCCCTATATAGTGATTGCTGGTTAGCTCACTTGGGAGAGAGCGTGGTGCTGACAACACTAAATCAAGGGTTAAGATTCCCTTACCGGTCACCTTTAAAAAAATAAAATAAAATAAAAAAGAAAAGTCTAAAATAATCTTCACCAAAATTTTGATTTGGGATTGGTGGGATTTGGGGTAGCTTAATTTATTTTTCTCTTTTGTATCTAACTTTTAATTTTTGACATTAATAACGTATTACTTGTATAACTTAAAAAATGCAAATCAAGAAGGAGAAAAAAAAGACAGTTCCAGAATTAAGGTAAAACTTACCCAAAATGCACAGAATTACTTTATGGGTAACTCAATCATGTTAGCAAACTAAATTCATTAAATAAAAGAGCCTTGGTGGTGGTGATTAGAAGAAAAGTTAAAATAAGAAAAGGAAAAAAGTATTTGAAAAGAGCCTTACAACATTTAGGATAATGTGATATGACACTCAGTTTAAGACCTGTGTGCAATAAAGCTGAAACTATAAAATTCATCTTCAGTTTTCTATCCATGTTATTGTGGAATCATTTGCATTATTCCTCCATGCCCTCCTCAAAAGAAATTAATGCATGCATGAATAAATGAAAGAAAGACAGAAGAGACACAAGAAAGAAATCCTGGTTTACTAAGCTTATATGATAGAAGCAAACCATCTTTCATTATGAACCACTGGAAACCCTTAAGTGGAGCTGCATGAATGGGCCATCTTAGTAATAATAGATATAGTCTAATCCTGTGCTACCATCTCTGAGAAAAGGAACACCCTTATTTTATACCACGTATCATTCAATTAAAAAATATCTGAGACTAGGTTACAAAAGGTACCTTTCACCCTCTTTGAGGAAGCCAAAAGAAGATGATCTTCAGGTAGGATGTGGGTAATGATACCAATAGCTCTTTCTGCATGAAATCTGCAATACAGATAGATATAGTCTGCCATTTCTTTTTAGTTACAAATGATTTAAGCATTTGAAAAAATCACAATATATAATATAGTATTTATAGAAAGTACTTCTAAAACTATCTGTGATAAAGGACCAGCTTTTTGTTAGTTTTAAATTTCCAATCTGTTGTGGAACAAACTTTTAACACCCAATGGATTCCCTCCCACCTCTCTCAGAATAAAATAGGAAGCCCTTATTATTGCCTACAAGGCTCAACATGATCTTTCACTCTGCTACCTCTCTGACATTATCTCCTGTCATTCTCAGATCACCCCCTCTCTTTCACACCTCCACAGGCTTAGCAGTTTTCTGAACATGCAAAGCATGCTCTCACCCTCATACTTGTTTTACCCTCTCTCTGCAATGCTCTTCCCCTGAATATCCACATGGCACATTGCTCATTGAACAGGCCTTTCCAGACTGGACTACATAAAAGTCTTTAAAGAAAAAAAAAAAAAAAAAGGGCTGGCCAGTTAGCTCAGTTGGTTACAGAGCAGGGTTGATAATAACACCAAGGTCTACGGTGCAGATCTCCATGCCAGCCACCAAAAAAAAAAAGTTCCTAAAAATATCTACCATCACTCTCTAAACTCTTAAACCTACTTTATTCTTCTTCTCAGATGTACTCTCGCCTGAGATGTTTGGTTATTTGTTTATGGCCCATCTCACCAAATTAAAAGTAAGTTATCTATTTTATCTGCCAGTACCTTTCAAACAACTCCAAAACCCCTACCCAGGAAATCATTAATTTTCTCAAATCTGTTTTCCAATTCACTAATAATTCTCTCTTTAGTTGTAACTAATCTGCTATTTAACTTGTCTACTGAGTTTTAATGTCAATGACTGTTTTTCATTTCTAGCTATTTACTTTATTTTTTATAAATACTCTTCTCTTACTAAGATGTAATTCACATAACCACACAATTCACCCATTTAAAGTGTACAATTCAATGGTTTTTAATATATTCACAAAGTTGTATACCCATCACTACAATTAATTTTACAATATTTCATCACCCCAAAAAGAAACCCATGCTCATTAACATTCACTCCCTATCATTTCCGTCCAACTCCCCAGCTAGGTAACATCAATTTACTTTCTGTTTCTATGGATTTGTCTATTCTGGATAAGTCACATAAATGGAATCATATAATATGTGATCCTCTGTGACTGGCTTCTTTCACTTAGCATAATGTTTTCAAGGCTCATTCATGTTGTAGCATGTATCAGCTGTTTTATTTTAGAATCTGCCTTTTTTCTTTATTTTCTCTCCAAAATACTACTGATTCTTTCTTTTATATAAGGGTTGGCAAACTTTTTCTGTAATGGGCCAGATAGTAAATATTTTAGTTTGTGCTGGCCACACATTCTCTGCCCCAACTATTCAACTCTGCTGTTAGAGTGTACAAGCAGAAATAGAAAATACATGAATGTATGAGCATGGCTATGTTTCGATAAAACTTTATTTATATTTTACTCAAACTATTTGCCAATCCATTTTATAATAGCTAATCATTTAAGAATATGTGCTTTATAGTATCAAACAAAGAAGTTTTGTTAGCTAAAGTTCTTAAGGCTTTAATAATGGTACTGTTCATTATGTCTGTTGACTCTCCTTACACATTTTGTAATTTCTGACAGTGAGTTCATTTTAGTTAGAGCTAGATCCATGAGATATCTGTATGGTCAGGATTGACAGTTCATTACTTCCAAGAGTTTTGCATTTTCTCCCATAAGGCATTCTAGGAGAACTGGCAGCCCCAAGGTATTTTTTAATGTTTTCCTCAGTCTGGGGGTTCCTGCATGCATGATTCCAAATCTCAAGAGTGGTACAGGTCTGTAGTTATAAATTTCCCTGTGAGGATCCTTTTTTTGTTCAACTGTTAGCCCAAGTTCAGATGGACAAGTTTCCTTGTCATCTCTCTGTCAATGGACAGATTTTTTTTTTCCCTAGTATGTCCTTTCCCTATTGGTGTAGTTTTGATCTTGGCTTCATGTGAAGGTTTCAGTTCTAACTCACAGCCTCCTGTGGGCTAAATGTCTCTTAAACTCAGGATTGTTGCTCAACCAAGGTTACAGAAACTTCTCAGCTTTCTCACAACCCCAGAGCAGTTTTACCATAGTTCATGCCTAACTCTTTGGATTTTAGTGTCAATTATTGGCCCTTGGGGATTTCCCCTCTCTCTTGCACACTCATTTATGCATTTAAAAAAGATGTAAAATGATATTTTTAATACCAATCACCTACCGTGCCAAATACACTGCATGCTTAATTAACTGTTCTGCCTTCTTAAATTCACGCTTTACTACACAAGCCTAAAGACAAAGTGAAAAATTGTTAAATAACTCTCAAACAGTTCATTAGTGTGCTAAAATAAGTATGTTCCAACTATGATAGTCAATAAGAAAAAAAAATCTTCAAACATAAACAGAAGTGTTCTACTTGTAATTTCTTTCCTTGGAAAATTATAAAGTTAAAAATTTTGAAAGTCCTTTCCAGTGCAAACCTGGATGGCCAGTTTGCTCACTGGCTGAGCGTGGTGCTGACAGCACCAAGCCAAGGGTTGAGATCCCCTTACCGGTCATCTTTAAAAAAAAATAAATAAATAAAATAAAATTAAAAAGATGATTGTTACATTTTTTCAGTATTTCTATGTTTTTTGAGGGATAAGTTTCCAAGTTATTATGTATGTCTGTTAGCCAGAGACTATTACTCAAAGAAACATTAATGAAGGAAATGTTCAAAAGATAAGTCATATTCTACATGAAAATATACAAATCCCAATATTAAACCCTACGTTAATTCTAAATAAATGGCCTATAAATTGTTATAATTTTAAGTGATTTCAAGAATATTTTAGGCATTCTGTTAAAGCTCCAGGAAGACCAATTTAATCCTTAAAATACATAAAGGACTATTAGGGGAAAACTAAAAAACAGTACTTAATCCTTCACTGGAAAGGAATGGAGAACTTACAGTGCATTGTCAAATTTCCCAGAGCTATACTGGTGAACATAAGAAGAATAAGCCAGGTCTTCATGAGCTGTTGCTACATGGATATTTTTGCCACCAAATACTGACTGTCGAATGTCAAGGGCTGCCTGAAACAGTAAAAAAAATTGATACTACTGTAAATCTTTACAAAATACCACCTAATTAAACATCCTAATAATTTAAACATATATTCTATACATCCAATCCCATAAATTTTGAAGCAAGAAAGTCCTGCTGCATTTAAATCATAGTAGAACATTACAGTCACCTGGAAGGCCTGATTTTCTGAAGATGGAGTCAGACTTAAAAGGTAATGGCTTAATAATAATTATTCCTATGTCTTGGGAATCACATCAGTGTTTTTTCTCTATGCCATTCTTTAAAAGTGAACTGTAAAATCAAAAATACCTCATCTAGAGCTACGGCATAATATGTTCATTTACCTAAGACTGATTACGATAAGGCCTAAAATGACTGCTATTTGCCCTCCTAGCTATTACAAACACAACTACAGTGACACTTACTACATCAACCACATAGACAAGCCATCATCTGAGCAAATGAAAAATGGAAAAGTACTCCTAAATATAAGCCCACAACCCAACAATTCCTTCCCAGAATGATTCTCTTTAATTCCTAAAACATTAACTTTTAAGCCTTCTAGGTTATATTTAGTAAAATAATGGTGTGCCCTATGGGGTGGGGGGAGGCCTCAAAGAGTTATTTTTAGAGACTGGTTTATATACTACAAACAAATACAGGTCAGCAAGTCAATTTAGGTTGAAAGAGAAAAAGGGTAACCATTAACATACCTGATAAATTGCCACAGACTGACAGATATTATCTACATTGAGTAAGTAGAACCCATAATCTAGCAGTGTATCAGAATATTTTGGGTGTTTGGATCCAAAATGATCCCTATAAAAGGATACAAAACTATTAGGATAAAAAGTAGAAAGACAATTTAAAATGATATTTTTAATACCAATCACCTACCGTGCCAAATACACTGCATGCTTAATTAACTGTTCTGCCTTCTTAAATTCACGCTTTACTACACAAGCCTAAAGACAAAGTGAAAAATTGTTAAATAACTCTCAAACAGTTCATTAGTGTGCTAAAATAAGTATGTTCCAACTATGATAGTCAATAAGAAAAAAAAATCTTCAAACATAAACAGAAGTGTTCTACTTGTAATTTCTTTCCTTGGAAAATTATAAAGTTAAAAATTTTGAAAGTCCTTTCCAGTGCAAACCTGTTATAACAAAGTTACCTTACAAAGACAGTATATTCCCATCCTTATCATTAAAATGAAATGGTGGAGGGAGGGTTTACTATAGTATTTTCTAGGGTACTGGAGTGGCTTACAACACTCTTTTGTAGTTTTTATTTAATAATTTTTAAAAGCATAGAATTTCAAGTCTTCCTATTATTTCTTAAAATATTTTGAAACATAAGGATAGCCAGTAGTTTTTTAAACTCTAAATATCATTTGCATATAAAAATATAAATATTGCATAAATATTATGCTGTCTGTATATTAATTCAGAATATTTGGATATTCATTTAACTAAAAACATACTAATGTCTCTTTTATAGCTCTGATGGTAACCCAAATATGGGGGTACTTTGAAAAATTCGTGGAAAAATAGAATTAATAGATAATATGAATTTTGCTGTTTACTTGCTCTAAAATGACTAATTTAATAAAAAGTTACAACAAGCTGTCTTGCTGTGAATGCAATACTATGACTGAAAGATTTAATACTACTCTATCCTTTAGGAGAAAAGTGATCAAATCCCACACAATTTTGGCATAAGAAATTCAGGCTGCTATATAAGTTTAAGTAAAACAAAAATAAACTCAAGTCAGAATAGCATCAAAGTACTACTTTGAACTGTACTTCAGTGAGCTGAAACAGTTATAGAAATGAATTATTTCACAGGTTTTCTTGGCAAAGGAAAATTACCTAAAGTCTATGGGAGATAGTTCTACTTAGAAACCAGGTTCCTAGGGCCAGCCCGTGGCTCACTCGGGAGAGTGCGGTGCTGATAACACCAAGGCCATGGGTTCAGATCCTATATAGGGATGGCCGGTTAGCTCACAGGCTGAGCGTGGTGCTGACAACACCAAGCCAAGGGTTGAGATCCCCTTACCGGTCATCTTTTAAAAAAAGAAACCAGGTTCCTAAAACGGAGCACAGAAACTTAGAAAACAGACCTTGTTAGTCTATGGAGTATACAGTAACTAATATGTTAAATAATTGGTTAACTATAACAAATTTAAAGCCTGACGATTTATATAATTCACTTAGTAATTTTAACATTATATTCACCTTAGAAGCTTGTCTTAAAACATCCACCACGACTTTGACTGGTAAGCCTGCTGTGATTTCTTTCATTGCTTCAATGCACCATTTATATGCCTAAAAAAATAAATATTACAGAAGAGACAGAACTGTGATAAATCAGATTGACAGTATTTAATGAAATGATTGCAGATTTTTCCTGCAAGCTTTCAAGTATTTAAATAACAACACACACAAAATATTTACACTTAAATTTTCTCTCAGAGGCTAAATTTTCATGCAAGTATAAATTTGTTACATCATTTTTTTCTCTTAATATCTACAGCTTGTCTGAATCAAACCTTGAGGATATGTAACACATGTTTGGGAAATCAGAAGCATGTTCTCTCTTGCCCAGAAGCCTTTGCACATAGTGTTCCCTCTGCTTAGAATACATCTCCCCTTCCTCCAGCGTCTTAACTCACATAACTTGTCTTTAGGTTTTAGCCCTAGATTAGGTTTCTTGTATTTTCCCATACTTTCCTTCCCCTACTGTAACACTTTTTTTTATATCTTGATTTTATATATCTTAATTTTTTATATCTTAATTGCCTGTTTGAGTTCTTACTTTGTGCTATTGTTCTAAGCACTTTATGTGCATTAACACATTTAATTTACACAACCGCTCTAAGAGATATGTACTGTTATGGGAAACTGAGGTGCAGAGAGGTTAAATGGCAGGCAATGTGCTAGCACATCAGATAGTAGTGGGAAACAAAACTGAAAATGTCCTTTCTCTCCTAGTGCTTAGTGGGAGAAAGGGAAAAAAAAGGGCAAAAGAAATTATTTTGGATAGTGATAACTGCTATAGAGAAACAATATTACAAAGGATCACAACGAATGGGGGGAGAATACATTAGACAATATGAGAAAATAAACATTTGCTCTTTTCTGTAACTTCCCTCTTGCATTTTACCTAAAAGATATTTAGAAACAATTCTGATGCAAAAATAAAATAAAAACTATTTACCCAACTCAGATTTAGGCCAAAAAACCTGGTTTGTGTTTCTAAGATACTAAATAAGCAGTTTTTGTTCCAAAGTAATAGGTATATAATCTTTAGAATTGTGGTAGACTGTAATGCTTTGCTTTTTTTTCTTTTTTTGATGACTGGCTGGTACAGGAATCCAAACCTGTGACCTTAGTGTTATAAAGCTGCATTCTAACCAACTGAGCTAACCAGCCAGCCCATATTTTAAAATATCTATTGCCCCCATCTCCCTTCCCACTTTGGGAAGGATATACTTCCCTTCCACATTAAAGAAAAACGTGTGGCCATGTGATTTCCTTCAGCCAATTAAAATATGAGCAGAAGTAAAATGTGCCATTTCTGGGAAAAGGTTCTAAAAGCCAGCATTATTTCCCCCATGATGTTTCTGCCTCTGCTCCAAAGCTGGTAATGTTCCAGAAGATGACCTAAACCACAACGGGTCTTAATCAAAGTGTAGATATAATGTTAAGTATAGCCACAGCTGTCCCAAGATAGGGATACAGCATGAGCAAGAAATAAACTTTTATTGTTCCAAGCCATTGCTATTTTGGGGCTGATATCACCTCAGCATAGCCTAGTTTATGCTGACTAGTATAAGAATATAGTAATATATCATCAAACTATATCCTCAAGATCTGTGTACTTTTCTGTAGACATCAATGAAAAGTTTATTTATAATTAAAAGAAACATCCACAGACTTAAACATTCCTCATGAATGTCCTGAGAGTAGCAAAGACCATGAATAAGGCATAGTATAAACCCCTCAATCCAAATGTAGAAAGAAAATAATTGTTAATTAAATTGTAACAGCCTAGTAAAGAAAGAAAAGTGGAAACTGGTAAGTAAAGGGTACTTTTTTTGTTTTTTTGGTGGCTGACCAGTGCGGGGAACTGAACCCTTGACCTTGGTATTAAAGGGCTGTATTTTAACCAACTGAGCTAACAGCCAGACCCTGAGTAAAGGGCACTTTTGTTCCACTGAGTACACTGGTGGGTCTGGACATATTAAGGTGGGCCTGGAGCTGAGCAGGGAGTAAAGAATGGCAAGATATGAATCACCCTATGTAACAGAAAGAAGAATATAGTTTCAGAGAGGAGTATGAGAAATAGGGGATAAAAAGAAATTATGAAAAGAGGAACCAGAGATGGCTAAAATGAGTTTCCATGCAGAGGTATAAAAAGATGGTGGGAGAGTGTGGTGCTGATAATACCAAAGTCAAGAGTTTGGATCCCCATACTGGCCAGCTGACCCCCCCCCCAAAAGGGGGTAGGGCACCTGAAGATTTTTTAAGACAGGCATTACTTAGTCAATTCAGTGTTGTTAACCTTACTCTAATTTTCAGTAAAGTTGGCTATCCGCACAAAGGCGTTCTATGAATGGGTTCTGTGTTTTCTGTGTGTGAAAATTACACAAAGGTGCCAGGTGCTATATCTGGGTTGATAAACTATGGAACAGTTATCACACACAAGGGGCAGCAAAACAATCCATCAACAGAATGAAATCAGTAGACATAGAAACTCAGCATCAAAAATAACAAGTACATACATAAACTTCCTGAAAAATTACAAGCATCCTGATAAGGATTTTACATTTTTTACATGTGGGTCTGATGCATTCTTAAATAAATATTATATGCAGGATGATCCTAGCATCTGGGCTGCACAAATTTCACTTTACAATTATTCTAAAATTTTCTGGTTTCACTTAAAATTATAATTTTCCTTTAAATGTGGAATATATATATTTATATTAAGGAGGCAAAAAACAAGATAGGAATAATTTTAAAATCTGAAGGCTAAATGAAAGCTATCTGACAACATGAAATAATCATGATATTCTTCCATAAATAAAAAAAGAAGCAAAGGAGTTAAACACACATAGATCACTTCTCGTCTATGTGTTTATTAGCACCAAAGCATTCATTTAATAGTATAAAAGCCAGGAATTAAGCTCTTTCTCATATGGCAAAGGAAAGAAAGGAGCAAAGCAATGCTATATGGTATAAATAAAATCTAGCTTCCCATTAAAATGAATGTCTTCAAGTTATGAGAGTTTACCCAGAGCTACACATCCAATCAAAAGTATCTGTTAGAGAGGTTCAGTTAACAGAGCATAGAGCATGCCCATCAAAACAGAGACATTTGGTCAAAAAACAAAATTGGTCCTAAAGTGCACACATACATATCTAAAATCCATCTCACAAATACTCCTTTTGTCTGATTTTAAATATTCCATTACAAATGTGTACTGCTTTAATTAAACCTACTATATGACAATGATATCTATAAGACAAATAACAGAAGAGTATTTGCTTTATCCTATTTCACTGGTACTTACTAGTCATAATTAAATGTACCTCAAAACACTTACTTCATCATAGTGACTTTTTGCAAATAAGAGTGCACATAGCTCTCCATAGAGTGCAGCTTTGTTTGCCTGCTGGCCATGTTTTGACAGTTTATCCATATACGTCTGAGCTAACTTAAATGTTTCTTCGCCCAAATGATATTTGCAGTTTCCATTTCGCACATGAAGCAACCTGCAAAAACACAAATAACAGTCCTCTATTTTTTATATTTCCAGCAAGGTGGACCAAATAACCTCTTATAGATCACTATGTAGCAACTAAGTGACTTAAGGTACCTAGGTGCAAGAAATGAAGACAGCATTGGAAAACAACTGTCTGGCCCAAACGGGTTGACTAATGCCCATAAGGAAGTACATGCTCTTCTCAGAATGCTTCTCATGATTAATCTCATCTAACTTTGATTCCCTATCTTCTCAAAATATTTTGTATACTTTGTGTTCTCAGCATGTGCTACAATTAAAAAAATAAAATTTATTTTTTGTTCCAACTCCAAAAGTAATACAATTTCAGTGTAAGAAATATGGAAAATAATGAAGAAAATAAAAATCAACATGATAAAGTATTACCTACCATTATCTTCCATTCTTATTTTTAATATATTTGATCAGTTACCACTGATTTCATGATGCTTCATAAATGCTCAATTTTTCTTATCTTTCTAATAAGATAACTGAAAATAATAGTAGTGTCAGTGACTTCTTTTTATCCTCTACAGTGGAAAATAGAGTTCTTTACACAAAGTAACTATACAACCATGCTGACTATTTAATAATATGCAAGAGTAGTAAAATGCTTTAGATCAGACTGAAGTCTAGATAGCACAGACTTACAACACAGAATAGTGTTACAACTGGACAAATATTTTTGTGTCTATTATAATGATGGCTAGAACATTAAGTCCATGTATGGGGCCAATACAATTCTCTGAAAATGCTCAGCCCCAGAAGGAACAGAGGTATAAAACCCCTTTAAAAGAAAACCAAGTATGGAGGGGTTTTTGCATTCTTCAGGAGTATAAAATCAACACATACTTAAAATTTATTTTTACACCAAAAACAACAACAAATCAATAACCTAAAACGAGAAAAAAAAAGAATCAGTCTTCTAATCCCTGTCATTCCTCTGTAGAGTCAGGGAAAACAGAGAAAATAACTTCAAAAGAACCAGGACTAATCAGTAACATGGTGAATACTATACAATGCCAGTGTGTATCCTCTCGACACTCACCATACAGTTATCTGTTTCTAGAAAAGAAAGTCCTCAAGCAAAGTAATATACTAAGGTTAATCCAAAATTCTGGCATATCCTTCATAATATCAAATTCCAATTTAAAGCTGAAATGAATACAATAATTTATAAGTTACTCTAGAATGATGAGTGGATTGGATTTATATTAGGGTACTTCAAAAGGTTCATGAAAAGATGGAATTAAAAAAGAATATGCTTACCAGCCACGTGCAAAAACAAACTAATCTTGGGCCGGCCCGGTGGCGCACTGGATAAGTGCGCCGCTTGGGAAGCGCGGCAGCGCTCCCGCCCGAGGGTTCGGATCCCACATACAGACCGGTTCCCGCTCACTGGCTGAGCGAGGCGCGGGAGCAACACCGAGGGTTGCGGTTCCGTTGCCGGTCCCCGGTCTGGTACGGGGGCAACACTGAGGGTTGCGATCCATTGCCAGACACGGAAAAAGACAAAAAAAAAAAAAAAAAAACCTAATCTTTCCATGAACTTTTAAGCACCCTCAAGTGGAAAAAATCACGTTTTAGTATACAGACTTTTCATGCTAACATAAGTATACTCACAAAGAAACAATGTCACCTGTCAAATTGCTAACCTGATGACCAAGTAGTAGTTTGTCATGACCTCCGTCAAAATGGAAAATAAGGGCTGGCCCAGTGGCGCACTGGAGAGTGCGCCGCTTGGGAGTGTAGCGGCGCTCCCGCCGAGGGTTCGGATCCCATGTGGAGACCAGTTCCCGCTCACTGGCTGAGCGCGGTGCGGGCGCAGCACCGAGGGTTGCGATCCCGTTGCCGGTCCCCGGTACAGGCGCAACACCAAGGGTTGCGATCCCGTTACCGGTCAGTAAAAAAAAAAAAGACAAAAAGGAAAAAAAAAAAAAAGGAAAATAAACCATACATAAGAAAACAGAACTCGGGGCCGGCCCGGTGGCGCACTGCTATAGTGCGCCGCTTGAGAAGTGCGGCGGCGCTCCCGCCGAGGGTTCGGATCCCACATACAGACCGGTTCCCGCTCACTGGCTGAGCGAGGCGCGGGAGCAGCACCAAGGGTTGCGATCCCGTTGCCGGTCCCGGTCCGGTACGGGCGCGACACTGAGGGTTGCGATCTGTTGCCGGACACGGAAAAAGACAAAAAAAAAAAAAAAAAAGAAAACAGAACTCAAATCTAGGAAAAGATTAGGAGTATGAAAAAATAAGGTAGTCCAGATGGTAATGATTTGAGAGACTCTGATAGTCCAGTATTGACTGAGCACCTACTATGTGCCAACCCGTTTTCTAGATGGAAAGGTGTGGTGGTGAACAAGAGAGAAAGAATCCATGACCATAAGAAGCTTACATTCCAGTAGGGAGAAGGGTGTTAGGGTAAGCAGACACACGTAACAAGTAAAATGTTCATTTAAGGATAAATGCTATGAAGATAATAAAAACAGGGTATAATACAGTCAAGAGCTTCTTAAAGGAGGTACTTAGGGTAGACAGGGAAGAATTCTCTTGAGGAGGGAACATTTGAGTTGACTCCTAAATAAGGATGACTCAGCCATCTAAAAATCTGGGGGGGAAGCATGTTCCAAATAGAAGAAACAAGAAGTGCAAGGGCCCTGAATAAGGGGGAAATAATCTTGTATAGTCAGAATGGAAAGAAGGCCAATGTATCCAGAATATAGTGAATAAAGAATTATGTAAAGAGAAGTGGGAAGGGAGAGATTTTTTAAAGAAAGACTGTATAGGACCTTGCTGGCCATGGAAAGAAGTTTTGGTTGTAAAAATAAGTGAGGTGATTTGATTTATGCTTTAAAACAATGCTAACAGAATCTCCTAGATGTTAGAAATGTTCTATACCTGTGTTGTTCAATTTGTGGCCACTAGCCACAAGTGGCTACTGAGTATTAGAAATACGCCTAGTTTGAGGAATCATTTTAAATTTTAACTAATTTAACTTTAATTAATTTAAATAGTCACCTATGGTTAATAGAAATCATATGGGATGGTGCAACTCTAGAAACATGCTCTGGCTGAGGTGTGCAGAATGAATTACAGCAAAGCCAAGAGTGGAAGCAAAGCAACCAGGACAGAAGATATTACAAAGGTCCAGGAAAAAAAAAAAAATCCTGGAGAAAAAAAAGCGTTAGTGTTAGAAATACAGACTTGGGAATTCCAGTCAAGATGGTGGAATAGGCAGTCCCCAGTGTCACTCTCTTCCACAAATCAACCAATTTACAACTATAAAAATGTAACATCAGCCAAGCTGGGGACACTAGAGCTTAGGGAAAGAGGAGGAGAGACCTAAGGAGTTCATGAAGGTGGGAAAAACCACGATGAGACAAAGAAAAAACTGCTCTGAGCATTTCAGGCCACTGCCGCTTTAAGGCTCGAGCTGCTGAGCGCCCAGAGCAGGAGCCGACAAAAGCCACAGCTGTGCCCTTCAGATGGACTTACTTGGAGGCGGCAGGGGAGAAGAGGACCTTGGTGGCCCCCAGGACAGCAAGACCACTAATAGGGTTCCTGTGGACCCACGCAGGAGCGAGGAGCTACAACAACTGAAAAAAAAGAGCCATTCAGAGGCCGGTGAGTCATTGCAAGGGACCAGCCCAGGGCCTGTCCCATGGAAAGTGTTTGGAGCATGGGTGGTGGGGGACATGGGCCAATCGGGAGAACACTGGGACACAGCAAGGACAGCTGATCTGCCCCCCAATCAGTGCAGGACCACTCAGAGGAGACTGGTCAGGAGTGCAGAATTGCATGGGGTGCAGTTTGATGAAAAGATTCAGGCCTAGATCAGAGTTTCTACACAACGCAGGTGCACCAAGTCTCTGGAGAGACAGAAGTACCTATAAGGTCAACCATTAAACCCTGAGCTACACAAAAAGCCTTCCCTAGGAAAACAGCAGCAAAACCATAATTTAGCCCAACCACTCAGCTAAAGTACTGGTTCCCACAGGAAGTTCCCCTGTTTTAGAAGTAAGCAAAGGACAAAAAATTAGTTCCAGCCCAGGAACACCACCAGCACCTTGGGGCCTGCCAGGGGACATGAGGCATGGAGCCAGGAATCGGACCCCTGCCCACAACCACTCACACTGCCAGCATTTTGGGGCCTGCCCAGGGACCTGAGGCATGGAGAAGGGGACTGGACCCCCCCTCCCACAACTGGGGACCTGAGGCATGGAGAAGGGGACCAGACCCCCCTCCCACAACCAGACACACCATGCCAGCACCTCAGGGCCCTGCCTGGGGACCCAAACCCCCTCCCACAACCAGGTACACCATGCCAGGGCCTTGGGGCCCGCCCAGGGACCTGAAGCAGGGATCTGGGGACCAGACACTCCTACAACCAGGAACACCACCAGCAGAAAGGAGCATGCCAAAAACATCACCTCTATGTCAGTGGCCCACCACAGCCACCACAATAACTATGGCTGCCGCGAAAGTGGCTAGACACCACAACTACCATGCAGATGGTCCACCAGCCACTGGAGAGCACTGACACAAGGAGAGTCACCAGCAGAGATAAAAGAGGACGTCACTCTCCACAAAGCCCATTTCAGAGTGACAGAAGAAGCATCTGCTCTATGATAACATTGGGGTACCTGATCACACCTCTCAGCATTGGACAGATTACCTAGGCAACAAATCAACAGAGTAACCATTATTGTTTCGGAAGGAAAGAAGAAATCTAGGGTAATGGGAGCGGGGAGAAAAAGGGGGATGGGGAGAGATTGGACAAGGGGAATAAAGAATAATTACGATCTGTAACAATGCATATGCTAGAAATATTGATTTGATCAACATATCTCAACGTTGAACCCAAAAAATATGATAATCAATTTTGATTCAATAAAAATTAAAAAAAAAAAAAAAGATATATGATTTGATAGTTTGCCAAATGGCTGAATGAGAAAAAGGAGAAACCCAGACAAAGGCTGTCAATTTAGAGAA